GTAACCGGTGTTATCCGGAGCTCCCAAGGCAGAGCCTTTCACTGTAATTCATCACATTGATTCATTAACTAACATAGCTCATTTCTATCAGACCCACAAGAAACCCACAGTGGCTACAAATGCCCGTATGTGCATCCAAAAGGCATTTATTTTTATAAATGTTCCCACCTGGGTTGCTTCATTAATGTACACCAGTTTATACACCAATTTTTGTAAAGCAGAAGTTTAAAGATCACTTTTCCTCTGTGTTCTGCTGCCACCATCACCGAGTGATCATTGCTCCTTACTGTTAAATTTTCCCTCTAACACCCATTTGTTCTGCTACATTTACCCCAGTTCCTGCCAGCCCCCCAAATCGTTAAAAGCCATCAGGATAAGAATAACTACCAGGACAAACATGCTGCTGACAGGCCGATTATATCTTACACCAGATCAGGTCTGTCTATAAGATTAAGTTAAACAAACTGTCTCCCATGAGCCTACTCTAGATATTCACCCATTCACCCAATTCTTCCATATAGAAAACTCTAAGAAGACAAATAAGACTTCCTAGTCCTGTTTCCCATTGCCTAGGTCATCCATTCCGATGGACTGGAGTTGGAGGTCCTCCCCACTCCAACATTTACCCCCTTTATCATCATCCCTTGCTCTTGGCCACCAACCTTGAAGCCGCATGGCAGGGCTTGGTAAACTGTGGGAGGCTGAGAGAGCAGAAGGATTGTAGGAGGACTCGGATATCTGGTTTGGACAATGGGTGGTGTCATTTGCTGAGACAGGGAATGAAGTTGTCCCATTACAGGGCCCAATGAGGCAGCTCACTTCTCTAAGACCAGTCCTCACTCTTGTCTGACATCAGCTTCACCTCCCTGACCCTCTGCTTTCTTGGTTTCTTGTTTCAAACACCAGCCTCCAGCCTTTCCCGGCCCAGTGGTTTACTCCCTGAGGGAGCATCTGCCTTTGTTCCATTCTTGATCTTTCCCTGCCCCTGATGCAGCCTGAGGGCAGATGCTTCTAGTCAACTCTCTCTTCTAATGAACCAGCCCTGACACCTCTGCACTTAACTCACCACTGAAGCAGCCCACTCACCACCCACTGGCCTTGGCCTTGCCTGCCACTCCAGGCTCCACTGCAGCACATCCCAGCCTGGACCCAGCCCTTTCTGAGTCGCTCAGAGCCCCACAAAAATGTGAGCGGATATCAATCCACCGAAAAAATCTAGAATATATTATAAAAGAGATGTCTATGACCCGTAAAGGGGAAAGGTGACGATAACTAGGAGCTCACAGAAGGTTTGCTAAAGAGTAAAATTAAACACTCCCTTTTTTGGATAGGCTTACTCGATTAATTAATCAGGAAAATGTTGTAGACAGAAAGGCATTTGACCAAATTTCTCATGTCCTTATAGTAAGACTGCGTGGTAATACAGTTAGGTGTGTGAACATTTGGTTGAGTAACTATATCCAAGAGTATTCATTAATTAATTCCCCCACAGGTATTCAAAAACTCTGTCTTTGGTCCCACCTTCAACAAAAATTTTACCAATGATTTGGACAAAGAGAGACATCATATATATTAACATATGAGAATGACATTGAGCTAAATAATTTAATGGGTGATCAAATTGGGAGGATAAAAGATCTATAAAAGGTGAAATGATAGGTTACAACCAACAGGAAAAATAATGGGTTTCTTTTAAGACCCAAAAACCCATTTGCAAGGGTACAAAGTGAGTAGAACCTGAATCAATACTAGTTTATTAAAACAATTAATGAAAGTAATTAACTAAAAATAATTAAGTAAAAAATGAAGGGTTTACTTGCCTACAAATCAGAGTGAACCAAGAGACCTAGGCCTTGCCAGCAGCTCCCATGAGTCTGAGGGCCACTCATTGCAGATGGGGCCCCAGCAAAGGAGGCAAAGTTCTCTGCTGCTCCAAACAGAACCTCCAGCTCTCAGTGGGGTGCTTTGCAAATCTGACAGTGGCTGCCTCTGGGCGGAGAAATCCGAGGGGCTATACTTTCATACACTTCATTTTAATACTCCTTATTTAGCATCTACTTATTTGCATTTAACAAATAAGTAGATGCAAAATAAAATAAAATAAAATAAAATAAAAAATGAAAATCCAGTGCATAATGTGTGAGTTAAGAGTGCAGAATTTGGAGTTAGACAGATTGTTCAAATTGCAATTTAGCGACTTATTAGCTGTGAGAACCAGGGCAGGTCACTTAAACCTACCAGCCCTCCGTCATCTCCAACACTGGGATGACAGCCACTCCATAAAGTTCTCAAAGAGATCATCTAAAAGATATAACTACACTCACTATAAAACTTCAGTCATATTCAGAGGAGGACCAGGACTGAGAGCCCAGAAACGGGACTCTGAGAGATCCTGAGAAGGAAGCAGTAGTTGTCTTCAAGTGTTTGAGGGAAAAGTAGGAATAGCTTTTCACCGTGCTGCTCTAAAAGGCATAATTAAGACCGATAGGTAGAAACTTTTGTGATGGAAAAGGACTGTTTTAACTCAGGCCATTTGTAAAAGTAGTGAGTGCCCCATGGCTGGAGGTATTCAATGCCAGTGACATGGCCACCTGCCAGAGATGATATTCAAGGGAGTCCTGCCCTGAGAGTCCAGTTAGGTTAGTGGTCCTGAAACTTTAAAAGCACAATGAGAGTTTTTTTAAAAATGCAGGCTTTGGAGCTTCTGGGTTAGTGAACAGGTGCAGGGGCTGGGAGGGTAGCAGACCTGGAGGGGTGTGGGAGCCCCACACCCCTACCCACACACCTTGCCCTGTGCATCTCTCTCCCATCTGGCTCCTGAGTTACAACCTTTTATAATAAACCAGTGATCTAGTGAGTTAAAAACATACAAAACAAAACAAAACAAAAATGCAGGTTTCATGTCCACACACAGTCGTAATGAATCAGAACACACGTGGGGAGCAAGAACATTTTACAAAAGTTCCCCAAGAGACTCTGATGAAAAGCCAGGCTTGGAGACCAGTGCTATGACCTCTCTGTTCCCTTGAGTTTAAGAATCTCTGACGTGATGTGTGCTAAGTTGAATGCTGAAGATTGAAGCTGGAGTAAATGACAGTCAGAGTGTCTTTGTAGGAAACTGGGAAGGGGAAAGGGTGCAACGAAGTGGGGTACACATCCCTGCCACCACCCAGACACCCCAGGGTACAAGCGCTCCTAGGAGATGGTGCAAATCCCTGGGGCCCTGCTGCCCTCTGCCAAAGGGACCCTTAGGTATATGTCAACTCTCTGCAAACCACCAGCATACATTTCCTTTGAAAGCCATAGTCACAAGCAATCCCTTCCCAACAGAAACACACGACATACTGTTTTGAGAGGTCAGCTAAGTCTCAGACAAAACTGGAGACAGAAGATGTCAAGATGTTACAGCCAACAAAGGGAACAGAAAAGAGGTGCAGCCTTTGTTCCTTTTTAATTGGAAGAAGATGTTATTTCAGGCAGCAAGACATTTAAGTAATGCCATTGTTTGTTGCTGTCACTGATGAGAAGAAAGTGGACGGGCAGGAAGTGAACTTTTAAATGAGCTAACTTCAAAAATTAGGGTGTGCCTAGGCCTAACAGGTTACAGGTTACAGTATTAAATACTAGTTAAGTCCCAGGGACAATGACAAGCACTTCCCTAGTCATCTTAACTAGCTAAGCACCTCTTAGTTATAATATTAAGATATTGGCCTAACCTCAGGCAGCATTTCCCAACTTTTTGCTGAGGACACAAAGAACTCAAGAATGCAAATGCACATTGACATTGCACGTAGCTGGATAAACTGGTCTCCTGCATGTTCTTTACTATTATTTTTTAAATGTATGAAGACACTCTTGAAATTAATAAAATACATAACTACTTAAAAGCATTGCTGAATCCACAGCCGCTTTCCATCACCATGAACTGAACTGTCCCGATGAATGGGTACCAATGCACAAACACTACCATCTGCGTGTGCATAACCCTTCTGCTTGAATGAGTGAAAACTAAGCTCCAGAACTTAGGAAGGACATATCTGTGCTCATTTTCCTCCCATGCACTCTACAGATTGCTTTTCTTTGGTTCAGGTTGAGCTGGCTCTTCCAGAGAAAACAGGAAAAGAGATGGGAGTGCAAAGAGAGGCTGGAGGAAAGAGCAACGGTTTAGCTGCTACACCTTCGTGCTGTGGGGAGATCTACTTCCCACCAAGTGAAAAATTTTGAGCTTTTTCCAGCAAACAAAGCTCTGAGGCTACCAACTCAAGTGAAATAAAGTGTAATATAGTGTTACTGTTGTGTGTGTGTGTTTTTAAAAGCCCTGCTAATAGAAACCTGAAGAAATATTAGGAAGAGGGGTTACCTACTATATTCATTGCTTCAAAAAATAATCATTGATTTTCTACAATGTGCAATGTTTGTAAACTGCCTCTCTCCCCAGCAACTTACAAAACATTGGGATGCCACCAGAAAAGGAACTGGAGAAGGAATGTTATGCATGCCAAAATGTTGGACACGGTAGCTTATTAGCTTATATTAAATTTAGATTATAGTTGTACAATTTGTAAACCTTTTCAAATGATGAAATTCAATGCTGGGATGTTATTGAAAACAATAATACCCACACCCTGCCAGTAGCAATGCGATAGTACATTCAAGACCCTTAAAATGTTTAGACCCCTGATCCAGTAAGATATGGGAATTTTATTTTAAGAAAATAAGCCAAAGGAAGTTAAAAGTTATATGAAGAAATATTTTCACTAAGCACAATTTCTAATATTGAAAACTTGGAAGCAACCAAAAAGCTTAACAATGGAGGAATATTAAATTATAAGGCAACTCATTGAAATATTATGAAGCCATTAAAATCTCAATAATGAAGAACTATAAAAACATGACCAAGTACTAAGTGAAAACAAACAGAATATAAAATTGTATCTATGTCATAATTGTGGTTGAATAAAAATATATTATCTATTTTACCTACAAATAAGAAACATGAAAATATCCAAATGATTTTATTTACTGTCAGGAATTTGTGCATAAATTTTATCAGTTTTTATCTTTAAGTATATTGACATCGTTATAAAGCTTGATACACAAAAGAAAGTCTGAGCATGAGGCAAAATGATTTCTATCAGGCTCACAATCTCCTCCGCTTCCAGATTACAGATTCAGGAGGCATGATCACTCATTCCCAACCTACACATGCCCCTCCTCTCAGGTGTGGGGATAAAACTGAATTCATGATACAAGATACTACAGGGTTAGGGTTTTCACATAAACTAAAGGCCTGGTGCACGAATTTGTGCACAGGTGGGGTCTGGCTGGGCCCGCCAGCGGGAGGGGCCATGGGCGGTTGGCCGGGTGGCCCGCCCCCTGGTCGAACACTAAGGTAGAGGGGACAATTTGCATACTGGCCTTTAATTATATAGGATATGGCACTGTGTCTCCCTCTCAGTCTAGGACAGGCAGAGATGCATGATGACAAAACAGCGTCTGACACTGTTAGAACTAGGAAACTGACCTGTTTCCTACAATACTGAAATAGTATTCTTTCCAGAGAACACAGACTTCTACTCTCCATTGACAAAAACAATGCTCAGAGAGGTTATGGTTTGCTCACGGTCACACAGCTAGTTGGTAGTGGAGATGATATTCAAACTGATTCCAAAGTCTCTTCATTCTACTCTCTACATCCAAGCAAATTTGGGAGAAGATGAGAGGTTCATTGTCTATGATGAAGTCCAAGTCAGTTTGCACATAGGTCTGCGTCCATTTGAACCTCAAGATTTTAGGCCAGTGTCCTCAATCCTAGTTGTACATTAGAATCATCTGGGGCTGAATTTTAAAATGTCTGATGCCTAGGCCTCACTTCCAGAGATTTCAATTTAATTGTTCTCACGTGTGGCTAAGACAAGGGTATCATACAAAAAGTCCCCAGGTGATTTTTTCCCCCCCATTCAATAAGGCTAAGACCCACTGGTATTAGGCCCTTTGCATTTCCAATCTTAATCCTGTAAACTTTTCAACTGGCTCCCACAATTTGAGTTAGAACAGCACTCCAGTAACTCTTTTAATTTATTATTATGGTAGATACACATAATATTGACCATTTTAATCATTTCAAAGTGTATAATTCAGTGGTACCCAGTAAGTAGGTTCACAATGTTGTGCAGCTATCACCACTGTCTAGGTTTAGAAGTTCATCATTCCAAACAGAAACCCAATAAGCAGTCACTCCTCGTTCCTTCCTACTCCGGCTTCTGGCGACAACCAATCTGCTTTCTGTCACTATTCCAGACATTTCATAAATGAAATCATGCAACACGTGGCTTTATGTAACTGACTTCTTTCATTTAACATAATGTTTTCAAGATTCATCCATGTTGTAACAGGTATCAGCATTTCATCCCTTTTTATGGCTGAATAATATTCCATCATATATATATTCCACCATATATATATATATGACAGATGAATATATGTATTTATATCACATTTTACTTAGCCATTCATCTGTTCATGGACACTTGGGTTGATTCCATCTTTTGGCTTCCATTCTGAAACTGAGGTGCCTTAGGCCACACCTTCACAGAAGCAGAAGAGGAGAGGGTGAGTTTTGTGTTAACACGGGCTCAGGAGTAGACCTGTGTTGTCAAAGTGTGATCTCCCAGCCGGTAGCATCAGCATCACCTAGGGACTTGCTAGAAACGCAGATTCTCTGGCCATGCCCCAGGCCTGCTGAATCCGAAACTCTGGGGGTGGGGCCTGGCCTTCTATGTTTTTAACCCCCTTCCCTCCATCCCCCAGTGACTCAGACGGTGACTCTGAAGTTTGAGAACCACTGGAGTAACAGACACAGGCATGGGGTTCCAACGCGAGGTGTTTTTGCTGCCTTCACTCGGGTCAAGTGGGTCCTCACGGCACACGAAGCACAGTCAGCCCCGGGCACCCTCCCCGGTGGTTCAGTAATAACATCCCATCTGTCAGGATGCTCGTGTCACTGAGTTCAGCTGGTACATGAGACAAGGTTGACATGACACCCTCAAGTCATCACAGCTCTCTGTAATAAACAAACACATGTTGTAAGAAAACAGACTGAATTACAGAGCTGCTCTGCTCCCTAGCAGTTTACAACGTTGAGTGTCTCTTATCAGGAAACCACAATCAAGGCGTTCGCTTCAGAACTGCTACCAGAAAACCACGGTCAGCGGCTCCACGCAGCTCTCTGCTTTCCCTTCTCACCTGCTGAGGAAACCTGCTCTTCCTGCCGGCCGGACCCGGCTCACCCCTCAGCCCTGTGGGTCCCACGCCAGGCCACCTCTGTGCCTTTGCTCAGGCTACGCCTTCTCCCTGTGACACCACCTCCTCACTCCCCACACATCAAATCCCATCATCCCTCAACCTCAATCCAACTTCTACTTTCTCCCCCGAAAGCCTAGTGGGGCCACCCAGCCAATAGCCATCCTCTCGTCTCCTCCCTTACCATTACTTACTTACTCTCCTATTTGGAGTCTTTTTTAAAAAAATAGACTTTAATAATAGTTTTAGGTTTACAACAAAATTGAGCAGACAGTATAGAGATTTCCCATAGTCCTCTGCTGCCCTCACACACACACAGCCCCTCCCCCTTTCTCAACACTGCCCACCAGAGTGGCATACTCATTACAATAGATGAATCCACATGGAAACATGATTATTACTCAAAGCCCACCACTGACATTCCTTACATTCACTCTTGTTACTGTTCATTCTATGAGTTTGGACAAATGTATAATGACGTGTATCCACCATTATAGTATCACACAGACGCGTTTCACTGACTGAAAAATCCTCTGGGCTCTACCTATTCCTCCCTTCCTCCCAACCCCTGATCTCCATAATTTTGTCTTTTCCAAGATGTCAGAGTAGGAATCATAGAGTATGTAGCCTTTTCAGATTGGCTTCTTTCATTGGGTAATACACATTTAAGTTTTCTCCAGGTCTTTTCATGGCTTCACAGCTCATTTCGGGTCACTTTTATTATATCATTATTTTGTCCTTACAGTATAAAGAGTTAATTCCCAACTATATTGTAAGCTCTGACACATCTGATGTAGCAGGGAGGAAATGCTATTTAAAACTATGACTGTAGCCAGTTTTACACATTAGGACATAAAGTCCCTTACAGTGAAGAAACATACCATGTGAGCCTGGTTGAGACTTCATGGGTGAGATAAGCAAGCTCTGGCCGTGGTCTGGGAAGTAAAGGGGGAAATGAAGCACGAGCTAAATTCTGCTCTGCAAGGAAGTAACTGGAATTAGGGGATTGGAGGAGGCAGTTAGCTGGGCAAACAGCAGCTTCTGGGGAAGAGCAAATCCAAGAAGAGAACGGCACGACAGAGCCTTCAGGGAACATGGCCCACGATCCTAATAAGGGACAGGACATTTGCCTGTGCTATGTTGTATTCTAATTCCTCCAACTGGACCACACTTTGAGGACAAGTGGGCCGTGTATGGCAGGGGGTGATGCAGGTAGGGTAGGAGCAATCACCACTAGGACCTGACAAGCCTGGATGGTGGGCTGAACAGGAAACCACCAACCCTCAGACAGTCTCGGGAAATCCTAGGGGGCCCAGCTCTCACAGAAGGGGACACGGCACTCTGTCAATTACGATGGATATACAAGAGGAGGAGGAGCCCAAAGCCTGTACCATTTACAGCCCTGCTTCCGTTACAATTATGACCACATGTCTACCACGCAGAAACAGCACAACACTCTATTTGGCCTTCCTAGAATATTGCACTGCGATGGTGGTGACAGGTGGGGGAGCTTTGGGAAGGCTTCCTGCCAGATTGTTTAGGGGTCCAATACGTTAGCAAAAGTCACAATAGAAGGAGTGTGCGCTGAGTATCCTGTGGTGCCATATATTCATTTGTCAAAATAGCCGAAACAGGAACTTAACTGCCTTGACACGTTTTCATACTAAAATTATTGCAGCCATAATACACAGAAAACGTTGAGTCCTCAATCATCCATTTGTCTGTGCATTAGAGTAGATTGCAGATTCCTTCCTTAAGGTGGGCTTGGCGCTGCTCCCCGGTTGGACCTCCCTTTTTCTGAGCAGAGGTCATTTGGTTCAAGCTCATGAGCAAGGATGTGTCAGTCCTGTGTCCTCTCGGCTGACAGGGAAAGCGCACCGCTCCGCACTAACCGGCCCCAAACAGCAGCTGCCCGTCAGCATTTACATACGCATCTTCTTGAACTCACTGATGCTGAAGATTTGTCAAAGGCTCAGCTGCCAGGGACGAACAGAAGGATGCTGAGTCCAACGAGTCTCCCCGAATGATGGTAGGGGGAGATGAATGGTCCCAGGTCTGGAGCCTGTCTGCCTGGGTGGGAAGCCTGACCAGGGATCATGAGCTCAGTGGCGCTGGGCCTATTTTCTGGGCCTTGGTTTACTTATCTGCAAAATGGGGATGGTCATATTACTAATCTCAAGTCGTCGTTATACGATTTAAATGAGGTAATACATGCAGAGGGCCCAGAGGTCTTCAGGGTCCCTATTATGCTCATAACCATCAGCTCTCACGCCCCCAGTTAAGTTAAAACAGTGGAGAGCACTGTGCCTGGACCCCATCACATGCCTCCCAGCGCAATGCTTTCTAATGGATTATGCTGAGGCCTCGCCTCCATTAAGGGACGGACAGTGGCCCTTGTCACTGGGTTTACACTAAAGTAGTTGCTGGGCACACTGTGTAGAGCCCTGCAGTGTCCTCCTCAGGATTCTAGAAAGATCCTTCTTCCCACCTTGGCCTGGAAGGCTGCCTCTCCTGAGCGCTGCGTGACCGGTGAGCAGCGTGGACGATTCACTGATCGGGTTCCTGTCTTCACACCGGCCCCGAGGGCCAGGACGACTCCGTGGTGGCGTTTTTGTACGGGCCTCAATCTGGCTCCGTTGTAGGACCCTGCCCTTGTTTTTCTCAGGCTGCACTGTTGTCTGCCTGGTAACATTCACCATCATCATCAGCACCCACCGAGCACTTACTGGTGCCAGGCTTGTGCTGGGAACTTCACAGGAACTGTCATTAGTGCCCGCCCAGTCCTACCAGGAAGACATCATTTCCAATGTAAAGGTAAAGAAACGGCCCCAGCTGGTTTGGCTCAGTGAATAGAACATCCACCTGCAGACTTAAGGGTCCTGGGTTCAATTCCAGTCAAGGGCATGTACCTTGGTTGCAGGATCCTCCCCGGCCCAGGTCCTGGTCAGAGCGTGTGCAGGAGGCAACCAATCAATGTGTTTCTCTCACATCAATATTTCTCTCTGTCTTTCCCTTTCTCTTCCACTCTCTCTAAGAAGTCAATGGAAAAATATCCTCGGGTGAGGATTTTAAAAAATTAAGGTAAAGAAATGCAGGTGCAGGAAGATGATGGGATCCGTCTAGGTCCCTAGGATTTCTAGGAGCCTAAGAGAGCCTAACTGATGCTGTCTCCCAGAGTGGGAGGCATTTCTTTACACTGTCATAAATCCTTTATGAAACAAGTCATGGTATAAATCAATCATCACATCTTAAATGATGTCTTTCCTTGCTAGTTCCCTTATGTAACTGGTGGAGCCATGAGTGCAGTATCTGATGCTTCAGAGGCCACTTCGGGTCCCAGGACACCCTGACCAACAGCCCCAGGGGTGAAAAGAAGAGATCAGAAAGCAGTAAAAGCACAAGTGAATTCTGTTCCTGGTGCCAGAGATGTGATTTGACAATCACAGGGCCTACCTTCCTCACTCCCCTCCAGGCCCCAGAAGCACTACCAGGACTGCTGGGTTTGCATCCTGTGCCACGCCACTAATTGCCCCCAGAGGAGTTCCATAGTCACATGCAGTCCTCAGGCTCCTCCTGCGTGAAGTGTTGGGTCGGAAGATGCTCTCACATGTCCCCGGAGGAGGTAGCATGACATACCAGGTAAGACCCAGGCTTTGGAGTCTCATGTCCACATTTGAATCCAGGACTACTTCCTCTCTCTGTGCCTCAGTTTCCTTATCTGTAAAATGGGTATGATAATAATATTAAAACCTCCTTGTGGGGAGGTACTAGCGATGAACACATAGACAAACAATCTTAGTTTTAATTCAGGCTTTGACACTAGCTGAATGACCCTGAGCAAGTTGTCGAACCTTTCTGAGCCCAGGTCCCCATCTGTAAAATGAGGGTGCTGGTAGTTACTACTTCAGAGGAGTACTAGGGAATAGCATAAATTAATATATAGAAAACAATTTAAACTTCACTTTGCACATAGTAAACACCCTATTAACTGTTAGCGATTACTATCACTGTGCCTGCAAAGTGCTTACAGTGACTGGCCATTGATGTGAGCTATTACCCCTCCCTGATAATTAAGACTGAACTGCAAGCAGCACTCCGGGAACGCTGGTGTCCTCCACTACGTGCAAGGGTGGGATTTCACCAGCACCTCTTTGCGTGGGAAAATGGGTGCAAATCCTCCCAGCTCCATTGGCCTTGCAGAAGCCAGAAGAGAAGGCTGGAAGGAGGTAAGAGGGTGAGGACACATCATCTGAGATGCAGCTGGAGGCTTTCTCAGTTCAAGAGGGAGAGCCCATCCTTGGAATTTCTAAACTGAATAAACTCATATGCTCCACTCTAAGCAGTATGGAGACCAATTCAGGACCTAATGACTGAGGATGTGTTTCTTATCTAAACTCACATGAACAAATCGAGCATAATCTTCTTCCTTTTCTGAGTAACTCAGCCACCTAGCAAGAAGTGGACCTCTGGTTGGGCTGGTTAGGATGGGGTGAGGCTGAAGCAGTGGGGGATAAAAGGCGGGACCACGACATGGGACCATACCAGCCTTCCCTCCACCCGCTCCTCACAGCTTCTTTTCTTCTCTCTGCCCACCTGAATCACTTTTCCTTATTTTCATTCTTTCGGGTACAGAAAGTTACCTTAGCAAATTAGAGAAGAAGTCAGAAATAGACACAGGAACATTTCTTGAAAAGAATTTCGAAGGAGAAACAAGCAAACTACAGAAACAGAAGCTGGAGCACAACAGAACGGTTCCGAAGG